CTGATGTGAGAAGAAATAACAACTGGTTGCCTTCTCATATGTGCCATGAACTGGGATGGAAACAGCAACCTGGGTATGTGCCCTGACCAGGAACCAAACCCGAGACCTTCTGGTCTATGGGATGATGCTCCAGATAACTGAGCCATACTGGCCAGAGCATATGTTTACTGATTTTTAGACAGACAGACAGAGAGAGAGAGAGAGAGAGAGAAACATCGATATGAGAGAGAAAAATCAATGGGTTGCCTTCCATATGCACCCCAACCAAGGATGGAACCTGCAAACTGAGGTATGTGACCTTTTGGTGTGTTGGTCGGATGACATTCTAACCAACTGAGCACCTGGCCCGGGCAAAACACTTATTGTTCATATTTTAATAAAAATTATTTTATTTATATTGCAATTTACAGGTATAAAGTAATATTTAAAAAGAACCAAACCTACCAGTTATCATGTTTTCTTAAAATACACCAAAACATTACACTAAAATCTGTACTTAATTTAGATTAAATATATTTAAGTACTGTATAGAATAATTACTCTTATACAAATATCTCCCATATTAAAATCAAAATTATTAATAACTCCTGAGTAAAATAATTAAAGATTTTAATACATTTAAATTAAATTGATAACAATTCTTTAAAGACTCTACTCCCTTATATGACATTTAATAGTTCATATAAAATATTTTTACATTTGTTTTCAAATATAGTTATTCAAGTACAATATACAAGTATGTCATATAAGTACACTTACTATGTTTTCAACTGAATAATAAATTTGCTTAAATAAAACTGCCCATATATGCAATTTGCCTTTATCTTTTTATTTTTCACTAAGTAATCATCAGTATAAGATTATAAAATATTCTCATGACTTGAATCACTGGGGAGGGGGATATTATACATTACTTCTGTTTTCACATTTTTTATTAGATGAATTGCGAATTGTTGATTGGATGACTTCTAAAACCTGAACTACCCTCTTCCATTTTATGGTTCTGTAAGTGCTGACATACTCATTTTGTGATAGATGCATGTTTAACAACTTTTTGTAGTTTACTGATCCTTGGAGAGACATACAAAAGACTGTGTCACAATTCCTATGGCTGTTTATTCTGTTAATATGATTAAAGTGATTACAGTTTTAAGTTTTTATAAAAGAAACAGGAGATCTTGAGTTACTTTGTCACACTGCTTAAACCAAACTAAGTTTCCAGTGATTAGTAATGTTAATAATAAGAACAGGTATATTTTATGTTACTTGATTATACTTGGAAATAAACCTGTTTTATTTGAGACTAAGTAAGGACTATTCATTCTCACATTATGTTATGAAAGTAGCTATAAACTACTATGATATACTGATATTTAAAATTAATAAAACAGTAACAAGTAATTTAAATGTCTAAATAATATTACTAATTATAGACTTATATAAAGAAAACCTATAAAAATTAGATTTTTAAATTAGGGAACCAATAAAATTTGGAATTATATTTAGTAAAAATTATACTGAATTAATAGTAAAAAAAAAGAACAGTGTAATGTACACAAAGAAACATAAAAGTGGTGTTTGTGTTACCTTTTTTGATGGATACAGAGAGTTTCTTAGAATAATTTCAGATGTTACAGATCTTTAATTAACAAGGTGAAAGCAATTCATTTTTTAACATCGTGATTCCTTAAACATTACTCATAACTCATGTGCATTTTTGATTATCCTGTTTTTCTTTTTTCACAGTCCAATAATTAAATGTCTAAATGTATTAAGGTTTAGAATCAAGGGTTACACATAGGCCAATTCAGAATTCTGAGCTGATCTTGCTTAAGTATCACATGGACTTAACTTTACAGTAAAGTCTGTTCTCTTAGTACAGGGAGAAAGATTTATATGATCTGAAGACAAGACAGAACATATGTTCTTTTAATAGTAACAGAAAAATTATAGATAGGGCTATTAGGAACTAACAGGAGGCAGAATATGAAACCAACATATACCCATGATGGACATTAACTAGTTACATATTGTGCATGTTAAGAAATAATAAGGAAAGGAACAAGTATATACAGGAATGCTTTGCTAATATTCATTGAGGTGCAAGTGTACATAAATGATTTGGTGAAAGTTTGGATTGTCAGTAAAAACATATGTCTAGCCCTAACTGGTGTGTCTTAGTGGGTTGAGCGTTGTCCTGCAAACTAAAATGTTGCAGATCCCTGGTCAGGGCACATGCCTGGGTTGTGGGCCAGGTCCCCAGGTATGGGTGGACAAGAGGGTGATCAATGTTTCTCTCACACATCAATGTTTCTCTCCCTCTTTCTCCCTACCTTCCCCTCTCTCTAAAAACAAATAAAAAATATTTTTAAAAAGTATATCTAATTACTGCTTAACTATTTATACCATAAAGTTTTCTCTCTCTGATATAAGCATCTTTAATATTATTTTGTTTTAAACATAGTATTTAATTTAATGCTGTGCATACTATAGTTTAAACATTATTTAAATATTTAGTTGATGACAGATGTATAGATATCATTCATTTAACAGATGAGCACAATTTAAGTTGAGAAAAACTGATAAATTATCTAACCCAGTTCATGGGTCTATAGTTAGCAGAATATAGCAACTTTTTAAGAACTCAGTTTTACTTATGGGATTCTCTCCAACATTCTGATAAGAGATTATTTATGATATATAAATATCATACTGTTTTTTTATCAACTGTTACACTGTTTTTTAAAAATAACAGTTCTATGAATGTTAAACTAAAAAAAAATCTAGAGTAAAATGATTTTATTATTAATTTAATTTTTATTGTAGTTTTTCCATTACCATTTAGTCCCCTTACATCCCCTCCCCCCAGGTATCACCACACTGTTGTCCATGTCCACGAGTCCTTTTTCCTTTCTGTTCAATCCCTCCACACTCCCTAACCTCCACATCCCCCACTAGCTGTCATCCTACTCTCTATCTATGAGTCTGTCCTGATTTTCCTTGTTAGTTCAGTTTGTTCATCAGATTCACATGAATGAAATCATACAGATTTGTCTTTTTTTGACTGGCTTATTTCACTTAGCATAATTTTCTCCAGGTCTATCCATGCTGTTGCAAAGGGTAAAAACTTTCTTCTTTTTTTACTGTGCCCAGGAGAGGCCAAGCTGCAAACCAAGGCTGGTGTGGCTAGTGCCAGGCCTGGGGCTACAGAGCAAGAATTGTAAAGCATGGGCATGCCAAGGCCAGATGCCATTTGTTTTGAGAGATTTTAGGAAAGTGTGAAGCCTGATCCTAGATAGTCCAGTTGTTCAGAAACGTTACTAGATCAGCTTGGATGAGCCCTCAGGTTGGTGGGGCAGGGTCTCAAGGAATCACCAGGGCAGGTGAACAGTGATAGCCAGGTTGATGAAAATTCAGATATGTTGCCTGCCTGCCAGGTCTATGGGTGAGGGAAGAGGGTCTCAGAAAAAGAACGATGGGCTCTGCCAGCACCTCTGTCTAGGAGAAAGCTGCCCTTCCAGCTTTTGTCCTGATGCCAGACAATTCAGCTCCTCCCATAAGTCCCTGGAGCTTTTTGAGCTGCTGCCCCAGCACTGGAGCTTAGAAGGAACATGTCCACAGGTCCTTTAAGAGGACCTCCTAGGACTCCAGGAGCCCCCCATGTCACTTAGCCACAATCCCCACTGGTTTTTACATTCAGAAGTTATGGGGACTTCTTTTCCCAGCATTGCAGCCCTGGGCTGGGGGCGTAGTGTGAGGGGCCAGGGGGCCTGATGTTGGGCTGGGACTCCCTGCTTTTCAGGGAGGATCTGCAAAGCTGAGATATCCCTTTCAATTTTTATCCATCACACATTGGTGTGGTATTGGTCCATTCAATGTCCCTGCCCCTCCTACCAGTCTCAGTGTGGCTTCTTCTTTATACCCTTAGTTGTAAACTTGTGTTCAGCTAGATTTCAGAAAGACGGTTGTTCTGTAGTTTAGTTGTAAATGTTGATACAGTTGTGGGAGGATGTGAGTACCACATTTACCTATGCCTCCATTTTGACCAGAAGCCCCTTATCAATTCTAACTTACTAAATGCTTAGATCACTTGATAATCTTACAATCCTAGAAGTAGCTATAATTATCTCAAGGTTAAAAAAGAAACAGCCTGCTCTAGCCAGGAGGCTCACTTGGTTGGAGCATGGTCCCATGCACCAAAAGGTTGGGGGTTCGATCCTTAGTCAGGGAACATATATGGGACGCAACTGATCAATGTCTCATTCTCTCTTTTCTTCCCTCCTTCCCTTCTTCCTTTAAATCAATAAAAATATCCTTGAGTATGGATTAAAAATAATGAAATGAAATGAAATGAAATGGCCTGCAAAGGTAAAGAAAGTTGGTTCAGGTCCAAGATGGGAATCTGGGTCTTTTAAACTGTAAAACACTAGTTATAATAGGCAATTGTTGTAATGCAGAACATATTCCTTTGTAACATATCTTTTAACCTTTAACTGATTTGTATTATATTCCAAATGAGCTCATTTTGACTTATTTCAATAATTCTCTGTTAAAACTCTATTTTAGGGAAAGCACTTAGGTCTACTTTTACCTGTAGGACACCCACAATAATTCAGAGGGCAGAAGTCCATAGCTGGACTGACTAGCATTTTAATGACAACACACAAGACTTGTGTAGGCATGTTGTCATATTAGTTTTGTGAAACTCTGATTACAGTGATAAATAGCTATTTTTATTTGAATGAATGGCATTCTCTCCAGTAAAACACGATAAATAAAATCTCAGTACAGAAAATTAACACATACACTGGATTCCTCCCTGTATTCTTTTATGTTCTCATACTAGGTTACTATTTCTCTAACCTTTGGTTTGTTTATGAAAGCCAATAAATTCAGACAAACCCAATACTCTGAAAATTTCATATTCAGAAGAGCCAATGCTTTTAGAAAAAAATATTAATTTATGACATGGCAATATTTTCATAGAAACTTATACTTACTTCTGCTTTCTTACGAGCTTCCATAGCTTTCATAAGCATCATATGTTGTCGCCTTCTCTCTCGTTCCTATTAGGCCAGATAAAAATAGGAAAATAACTCAGCTATTATTAATTTTCATAGTCTGATTTTCAAATAAAAAAAACAAAACTGAACAAAAAACTCCATATAGCATGTTTAGCATTTATAGACAAGTCACAGTAAATACTAAATATATGACAAGAATGGCCAGTCTGTGCATGTTTTAGTTCAGGTTTAGAAAGCAAATACAAGAACAATCAAAAGCAAAAAGATAAAAGCAATGAACATGGAGACAGTGTAAACAGAAGCATACAAGATTTACTCATGGTCAGTTGTGATGCTCCTTCAAAAGCTGGCAGAACAAAAAGCATAATGGTTGGCTGGAACAGGTCAGTTACCTTACATCTGCTATTAGAAAAACCACAAATATGTACTGTAGCCAATTAAACTAAAGGTAGTGTTGTTTGTAAATTTTTAGATCAGGCAGAAATTGATTTTATAATCACTTTAACTTCATGATTTTAAAATAATTTTTATTTCAACTACACTATCATTTTGTAAATCCAATATGTCACCAATAAATTAAAATTTTTAAAAAGTTTTTATGTCAATTTAAACTAGTCGTGGTTAATACACCAACACCAATGAAATGGGAAACTCCTATTTACTGATGTCTGCCACTTGATGCACTATTTAAAGCCACAAAAGCTGCACCATGGGCTAGTAAGTGGAATCTAAAAGGCACAGTATAAAAATAAGGTAAGCACCAGCTTATTTTGATAATCTCATTGTCTTAAAGGTAAAAAATATCAGTGATAAGATTTAATCAATTTTTAGTCTACACATGTGATCCCCCTAAAGGGATATTTCTAAAATTAATTCTAAAATTTGTCTATTAAACCAGAATATATTTCATATTCTCTCATCAACCTAACTCAAAATTCCCATCATATTCAATGGCAGTTTTGTGTGTAGAATGATGGGAGAATATGGGTCATAATTGTCTCAAATTGTATAGGAATCTAACTTTCACTGTGACATCAGTAATGTAATTTTTAGACAGCAGCCTTATATAAGGCCTGCACAATTCAATGAGGAATCTTGGAAATGTACCATACTTCTTTGTAGACAGACAAGCAGATGTATGCAATGCACTGTGCTGTAAAGCCATGCAGCAGTATGTAATATGACAGCAGCCAGTGCTACACTTTATGCATTGCTATGACAACCATATATCACAACCAAATCACAATGCGGTGTTAGATGTACAAAAATAAACATACCCATACCATATCTAGTCTATGCCTCTCCAACTCCTGGTAGAAAGAGTTGGCACAACATTATGAAACAGAAATCACAGAGTCACGAAACCAATTTTTAACCCCCCAAAAGACACCAATACCAAAGCAAGGCAATAAACTGTAAGATGAAGGAAAAACTTAGGCAGAAATTATACTGGAACTATTTAAGAAATTTCATTGAAGATTTTGTCCAAAATTGATTCAATAAAAATTATACAATGTACATTGCAATGTTTGTGTAACTGTATGTATACAGACCTGATGCTTCAGAAGAACAGCTTGCTGTCTTCTCATTTCTTTCTCCTTAAAGATAAGAAACTTTTAATATATGATTGAGGGAAGATTAAGAACATGTTACAAGTATTAAAAATTCCTTTTCTGAGATTCTGTAGTCTTCCATTTGATTGAAACATACAAAATCACAAATATCCAATCATTTTTTAATTATAAAATGACAATTTCATGTGGTGACATAAAAACTGTATGACAACAGCAAGGACTTTCATTCAGTAGCTGTTTAAACTTTAAATTCAGTGACCTAATAGCGCACTTCAATGGCACATTCATTGAACTAAGTGATGAGAACTCTCTAAACTCCGAATATAAGTTCCAAAATACATTCCACACCTCACAGCAGCTACATCATTTCTATAGACTGTATATTAGTGAGCGTGACAAGAGACAATGGGGTCAGTTTGAGATTTTCATGCCCACCTATGATTCAGGGAACCATTCTGAGGGGATGTTACTTAAATAAACAATTCTATGAATGTCACCAATTTAAATAGTTTTATAAAGGTAAGGTATGAATAAGAATAATGTTAAGGACATCCATGAAAGGGGGTAGAAATCTAAGAAAAAAGTTGGAGAGGCTATGTGGAAAAGTAGCAGTTCCCTGGCTTTATAAGAGAGAGTGTAGTGGCTATTACCAGAACCATAGGATCACTCAGCTATTCTGTTTCAGTAATCAATTATTTTTTTTAAAAAAAAAGTGGAAGGTAAGGAGTAGAATATGTATGGTACAGGCGTCAAAGTCTCTAATACTTCATGCCAGAAAATCAAAACACACCCAAACAACATGTGAAGTTACCATAGTTAATAGTGGCTAATTTTATTATTGTAAACAATAGTTGATAAAGTTAGGTTTCTGTTTCTATAGCCTTTTCATTTTTAATAGTTAAAAAAGGACATTAACAAAGAGAAAGTTATAATCTAAGGAGCGAATCAGATTTTGGACACAATTTGAAACAAACATAAATGACACAAAATAGCTTTAGAGAGATCATTCTTATCTAGCAAAAGTATACACAGGTATTATGCAATAGCTTGCATATCTGATTTGATTCTGCTATTTAAGGAGCTCAAATCATCACATAAGACATGTATAATGAAATAAAAATACATGAACATACACTATACATACCATAAAAGCACACATTATATACATGTATCTGTGCTAAACACTTTTATAGTCATTTTGAGGAGAGCTATTTTTTTGTTGTTGTTGTATAACTGATACTGGTATAACAGCATAGTTTTTATTTTTGAAAAACAAAAACTCTCATTCTCATCTAAACTAACCTTTATTCGTTTTTCAGCCTCCAATAATTTGGCATTTGCCGCTTCTTCCTTCTTTTTCTTTTTCGCCTATGCATGCAAAACAGGTCTCAAAGTCATGCAACAGCATCACAACGTCAAAATAATCTCAGACTTGAAAATGGAGCTACATGCCTCACAAGGCACAAAACAATATGCAACATGTATGTAGACAATAACGGATTTCCCACAGTTGACATATTTACAATACTAATGTTATTTATAATATATACGCATTAAGATATACAAAAAGTTCTTAAATTCGTAAGAGTCTGTCAGCTTTTCTTATCTTTTTTCTTATTCTGTTAACAGTCTGAAATGAATGTCTGTTCTGTTGCTTTAAAATTTAATCCCAGGAAAAATGATTCTGTCACTTATCTTTTCTTATTTTTAAAAGTGAAACATGATCACAATAAAAATTAAGAAAACATGACAGATTTTAACTGATAAAGGTGACTTAAAAATAATTAGTCATTAGAAAATTTGCACATATGCACTTTATTTAAAATTTCTTTTTTAATACTTGAAATCTGAGTTAAAGAAAGCCATTACTCAGTATCCTTTAAATGAAACATAGTAAATCTGATTTTCCCTAGCTGTACATTGTGGTTAAATTCAAGGTGTTTGTTTTTTTTTATAGAATGGAAATGCAATTTTTCGTGAAGCACATTTTGAATACCAAGATCATGCTATCAAATTTGAGCTTCAAAATCTTGAACATGAACTACTTAGTAGTTATTCTCAATATACTTTAAGATAGGAATACTTTCTATTGGAAGGGTTTAAATTAATGTGAAATAGGAAAGAGAAATATGTACCTATTTCTAGAAGGAAAAAGCCTGTAACATGGAAAACTATCCAGACACCTCAGCGAATAAATTGTTCTATATAGCAACAGTTTCCTGACAAGGTGAGAGATTAATAACTTTATATATTAAAAGTTTAACTTTATTATTTTGGACGGAAATAATTTTGAGACGTGCTTGCTTAATTAGAGTACACTAAATATTTGGGTTTTTCTTGCTGACTTTGGGCAATTATTCTAAACATCAGTTATTATATGTACAGTTTGATAGAGTAATGCTTTTCAACTATTAAATTGTTGACAATTGCTTGCTCTTCAACTAAAAGGGTTACAGACTGCTACTAGGCTTTTAAATTCTTAGGTATTGCTGGGTGAAGATTTTCTGTATTCTCCCTTGCTGCTCTCTTTTAGCTATGACTTTTGCTGACGCCAAATATGTTCTCTAGCCCTATCACCTTGTAGGGAAGAGGATATATTAGAAGCCAGAAAACCAAGCTGGTTAAACATTTAAAATCTACTTTTGTAATGTTTCATTTTTGAATTAAAAGAAAACATCTGACTATAAGTCCTCATGACTTTTCTAAAAGTAAAGAACATGAGTTTTAGCACATAGTCTTTGTAACAACCATATTGTCTTTTCATAAGTTTCCTTTTTCTATTTTCTCTTTTGTCTTATTTCCTTGATTTGCATTGCTAGGATAAAATGAGCTTGCTAAATAAGGTTCAGAGTAGGTCTTACTACATATGCTATGTTTAAAGAGAATTTCTGATGGACATATTAATGTATATAAGAGAACAGGCATATAAACTTTTTATTTTTGCAGACTTTAAACTATATAATTATATTACTTTATATTGAAATTTAAGAATTCTACCTCCAGAATTTGCTGGGCTCGAAGTTCTTTTTCCATTCTGATTTGTTGTATTCTCTTAATTTTTTCCTGTAGGAAAAATTATGATAGAGATAATAAACTAAATATCTAGATGAAAAGTATTTAAGTAGAATCAAATAGTTTATGATATAAGAATTACCAAAGGTTCCTATGGAGATAATATTTAATTATTTAGTTTAACATTATATATATGTTCATGTCAAATTAATGTGATTCTATAAAATTTTTCAAAACAACTTATAAAATACAAGTGCTAAATAAGTATACACAAACCAGGTAAACCAAGCTGATTTACTGATTTAACTCTTTTAACCTGTAGATCTTTATAAACAGTTGCAATTACAAATAATACTTAATTTGAAATAAATATAGGACAGAATGGTAGAAAAATGGTGTATCAGAAAACCTCTGCTAGTTCTGTGTATTACTCTCATTTATCACATGGTCTCAAGCAAACAACTTCTCTTGTACGAGATATGGAGGGTTGCTTGCTCTTTCTCAGTGTGTCATAATTTAAAATGCTTTAACAAAGGATATGATACCACACAATTGTGATACATTGTTATTAACAACAATTTCCATAGCATACCTTTTTATTTAACATGGTGAATGCCATGATGGCATCATCGCTTTTAACTATTACAATAAGCCAAATTCAGAAATAATCTGTAACATTATTTAAAATGGATTAATTACAATTGTATATTCTAAGGAAAGATTCATATGAAATAATTGGTAGTTAGACTGTCTAAATTTAATGTATCAGTTATTGGTTTAGAATTTAGTGATCACTGAAATTTTCAGAACTTTACATTTTGAATAGAAAAAATTATCTCATATGCTATAAGCATACCATTAACAATTTCATGTTCATAAACCCCTTTGAAGATCCCAAATTGGCACTGATGAGAATATAGGTTTTAAAAAAATCATCCAAATTTTCCTACTTGTGAATTGCATTTGTCCTAGGATTTCCAGAGCCAATACATTTTATATTGCTGTACATTACAATACCTGTTCCAATTTTCAGATGCTAGTTTACCTCTTGAAGCTATACTTAAATTTGCTTTTAAACATTTCTTTTTTGCACAATGATGTTACTGATTCACTATAAAGATCTGCCACAGGATAATAAGACTTCTGGAATTACTGTTTGATAGTGGAAAACTGATTACATTCTATAATTTTGCTGTTGGCGAACCTACCTTGGTTTTGAATATTAATTATAGCTTGCTAATAATAAAAACCCAAGTATATCTTTTGTTTCATTTCCAAGTTGTAGACAAGGTTGTCTTTTATCCGTATTTGAGTTATTTATTTAGATTAGAACCTGAGACCTGAGTAAAGCATTCACTTGATTTCATTTTCCTGCTTTTGTCAATCACTGGGTCATAAAAGTGGTATGTTCCCATGACAGCAGAAGTCATTCGTTGTTCTCTTATGTACAGAGATAGGGCTAGAGTGCTGGGCTGAGCACAATCAGTCTAGAGCTTCATCTTAACTGTTCAAGTCATTTATACATGTGTATGTACGTGCATCTATTTGGTATTGCTGTTACTAGCATTAGCAGAGAAAGCATTATTTTCATAAATTATTATCATAATTGAGTACTGAACCACTGAACTGGGCACTTTACATAAAATATCTTATTGATCACAAAGGAGTTGCAATTATCTTCTTTTTACCTAAGAAAAAAATGGAAGTTCCTAGAGAGTAAATATTTTGCCTAAACTGAAATATAAGTACTGAGTTGGGGTCAGATTCCAGTGCCTCTGTCCTTCTGCTTCATAATACTGTACTTCTTCTGCAAGCTTCCAGAAAACTACCTTGAGAACTGCCCAGTGATATTTTTGGCCTACTAGGTGGAAAAAATGACCTGGAGGATGAGAAGCACATGCCATCATTTTATTCCAGATCTAATGTTGACTTTAAAATAGGCAATATGTAATTCACTATGTAAGTAAACCTATGCTATACTTTGATTCACTTTGTTAGCAATAACGAGTAAGTCAGACTGTATTCTGAAACTGGCCTCATATAAATATCTTGATGAGTATCTAAGATCAGCTCATTTGTATTAACGTTTATGGAAACTGGGACCTCTGTATTTTCGGTGAGCAGCAAAAACCATGTTTACTTGAGTTGTAGCCATTTCAAGACTTTAGGATTATATACAAAGCTGGATTTAAAGTGCTGATGGGATTTGATAGGTCTCTAACCATTAGGATAAGATATTAAAATATAACAGAAACACTAATATTTAACTTTAAAATGAGATATAAACTTATGAGTGCATATATATTTAATATGTATGTTTTAATAAAGGCACTCATTAGACTACATATTTTAACGATAAAACTTACAATATCTTTAGCAAGAGCAATCAATAAACTAAGGAAGGAATTCACGTTTACACCTGACTACTTTACACTGCAGTAGAAGAATGAACCATACCATTTGGTGTTTTATATTTGTCTTTAAAAAAGTGAGCATTTGCTTTGTGCCAGGGACTATATACTAGTAGGCACTTTACACTATTTCATCTGATCTTCAGATAATGCAATTATGTTTCTTTTTTTTTAATATGGAGGAAATAGAGAGTTAGAGGTTAAGTAATTTATCTAAGGTCTCACAATTCTTGAGTAGCACAGCCCATATTCAACTCTAGGCTGCCTGACTACAAACTCTAAATTCTAAATCCTAATTCTTTAGCAACTTTCTCTAATCATACTTCTTTAGTCAATACTGGAAGGAACCTTAGAGATAACTACATCAAATCCAACCCAAGCCATTTATTTATCAGCTATTTATACGATAACACAATTGACTTCATTTCATATTAAAAAAAAACTACTTGCTGTTTAAAATTTTTTAAAGAACAGTATTTTCCCCTATTTCCTTTCTGTTTTAATGATTATGTGACTATGTGGGGGATGGGAGAGCAGTTCACATATTCCTGCCTTGAATGAAGTTGAGTATCTTATTCTGTAATGCTTTTCCTATTCAGATTTAAAAGTTACTTCATCTACCGGTGTTTAATTTTTAAAACTACATAACAGAAGGATATTATACATAAATAACAGAATGCTACATATCCTGAAATAATGCTTTCTTCATTTTTGTTGAAATAGTAATTTATAATTCAATTTTTAACTCAGAGCATTCAGAAGCAATGGGTGCAAATTTTATTCTATATAACTTGAATTTAATTTGTTACTAGTATTTTACATATTTTAGAACAGCTTTTTTACTGAAATTTGTATTCACTGAAACATTTAAGTATTATCTTTCATTACTCATACATTAATTTTTAAAATAATTTTATTTATTTATTTTTAGAGAGGGGAAGGGAGAGGAAAAGGGAGGGAGAGAAACATCAATGTGTGGTTGCCTCTTGAGTACCCCCTACTGGAGACCTGGCCTGCAACCCAGGCATATGCCCTAACTAGGAATTGAACCAGCAACACTTTAGTTCACAGGCTGGTACTCAATCCACTGAGCCACACCTGCCTGGGCTGATACATTAATTTTAAAGGTTTGGTAGTTGTTCAAGATGGCAACTTACATTCAAATTCTATTGGGATATTAAAAGCACTTACACAAATTTATGTTTGGTAATCCTTTCTTAGACTACTTGGAAGTAAGAGATACGGGTTGAAAAATAAGGTGAATTTTAACTAATGGAAAATAAAAACTTTCTAAATAAGATATATAACATTAATATGAAATAGTTATTTCAGAAATCAAAATGAAACTAATGTATTACATATACAAATAGATTCCTAAAATAACACCTGTGTTGTTTTTTAAAAATATTTTATTTATTTATTTTTAGAGACAGGAAGGGAGGGAGAAAGAGAGAGAGAGAAACATCAATGTGTGGTTGTTTCTCATGTGGCCCCAACTGGGGACCTGGCCCGCAACCCAGGCATGTGCCCTGACTGGGAATTGAACCTGCGATGCTTTGGTTCGCAGCCCGCATTCAACCCACTGAGCTACACCAGCCAGGGCAACACCTGTGTTTTAAAAATCAATTCCAGTGTATAAACTTACCTGTTGTTTCATAATCTTTATTTGTTCTTTTTGCTTTCGCTTCTCCTCAGCAGCTATTATTGCTATGATGAAAACCAAAGCACAGATATCATCAGAAGAGGAATAAAGAAGAGAAGCCTTTTATAATTTGCCTATTACTTACTCTTTAAGTCTATGTCATCATTGAAACCACCCACCTTGTTGTTTTTTAGCTTCTTTGGCAACCCGAGCCTGTTCCTGCTTTTGCAGTTTTCTCAAAAGCTTTATTTGTGCTGCTTGCCTGGCTATTTCTGAAAAACACAAAATTTCAAAGAACATCATTAACAACTTTATACAACTGCCAATCTAAAAACCACCTAAAAACTCTGTGAAACTGATATCATCATGAAGGACATAATTTTCAAGAAAATTGCCTAAGGTCAGATAGCAAGTAGGAGAATGATGTGGCAGAAAATGTCATGTTCATTTCCCCCAGAAATTACCAATCTATTTCATCAAATATGATCCCATACACTGAACTACCCAAAAATGATGCCTCTTTAATTCTCATCACAGACAACAATCTAAGCACATTTTTTCACATTTCATGTAATTGCCACTTAATAGGAAAGTAGCTGCTAATGTGCCAAAAACGTGAGTTAGCTGTTCCATCATAAAAACAAAATGGCCCTGGCTTGTGTGGCTCGGTTTGTTAGAGCATTGCCTCGCACGCCAAAAGGTCACAGGTTCGATTCCTGGTCAAGGCACAGGCCTAGGTTGCAGGTTCAATCCTCAGCTGGGGTGCATTCAAGAGGCACTCGATTAAAGTTTCTCTCTCACATTGATGTTTCTCTCTCACATTGATGTTTCTCTTTCTCTCTTTCCCTCTCATGGGAATACCAATATAAAGCCATCCCAAACTTAACACTTTAAACAGCTATAGAAATGGTAAAGTTTCTAAATACAGGGAAATTTTCATTTATGAAACAGAGTGACTAAATGTCCCAGATAAAAAGAGCCAGGGTCATTTTTATCTGCAAAGGACAATTTTTCTTTCATAATTTTAAGGACAAATGTACAACTGGAATAGACTGATATAATTAATGATCCCAGTTCCTGATTGCTCCCTATATCCATGTCATTTGCCATATGACTTTGCAGCTTCTCTTAACAAGACATGGAATATATTTTCTTGCTCCTTGATCCTGAAATCAGCCAAGTGATCTTCTTTGGCCAATAGGATGTTAGCAATTGTGATGCAAGAGAAGTCTGCAAAGTGAACTTGTATTCTTTCTAGTTTTAGTCCTGTGACTTGCCCTTTACTATGAGGACACGTTTGGCCTGGGCTGCTGGAGGTTGTTCAAGGAGCCAGTGGACTCCCCACACGTGAACAAGAACAGCCATGATCAGCAGTGCTGCCTAACTCACCTCCATGTGATTCCATCTGCACAAGCCAAGTAATGCTTAGTATTGTACACTGAGGAGGCTTTGTGGGTGGTTGTTTCCCAGCATTATTGTGGCAACAAGTAACATACAAAAAACATGTAATGTCATGCTTTCTCTGCTAGCAAAGTTGGTCAGAATACCTCTAACTATAAAAATGGTATATCATGATACCACTTAACATTTCAAAAAACACCACTTTACATTAGACACTGTTTTAAACTATGTAGCAAATAAAGTTTTAAGAAATTTATACATTATATTCATCAATAATGAATATGATTGGGATAACACCTGAATTACTTGGGCTCTATTAATAATTTCTACCACTTATTGAACATTGTATAAAATTTACATAATCTTGTTTAATCTTCATAACACCTTTATAAGACAGGCAACATTACATCCAGTTTACAAAAGAAATAACTAAGGCTTAAGGAAGTTAAAATAGCAGAGTCAAGATATAAACCCAGGTTTTTCTGACTCCATAGTCTATATGCTACTACTTCTAAAAAGCTTTAAGAAAATCGGAACACCTTAAGATTTTGGATAAGAACTTAACTCTCTGTCCTTGTGACGACTGAGGTGAAGGTGGTTACTATGGCTGATTTTCTATGGTCAAGACTTAAAAGAAAGAGGAAGGGAATGCACAGTGTCTAATTTTATCTAGTACACTACCAGTGTTAATGAAAGATGAAAAGGAAACTGATGCTAAAGAAGAGCTTCAATCTAACAATGGTCATCATTAGGGGACTATATGCAGCATCAAAAATTTCTGAGCTACATAAAAAGGATCTCCTGTTCACTGAATACTCTGGGAAATAAAAATCGATAAAACGACCCACAAAGTCAGAGAACTCTGAAAACAATACAAATCAGGAACTGTTCTCATCTCTGATAGTACCACGTAAATATTTAACATTCAAGAACTGAAAGTTTTTACTGAATTAGATTATAACTCAGTAAAGACCTAAATATGTCTTAAAATGTAAGACGTATTAAGTATACTATAATACATATAGGTATATATTTGTGTATGAATGTATCAGTTAATTTTAAACCCCACACAAGTACACAGTAATTTTTATTTTTAAACCCCGCAGGACAGAAAAACATTAAAAAATAGAACTCAATCTTTTCACTTTAGCAAGGAAGATAAAAATGATACAATTTTGATTAACTGAAAAATTAGGTACCTTAAATTTTATATTACGAACAGAAAACGTGAAGTGAAAAAATGTTTAAAAATTAGGGACATAATGGAGTAAGAATGAATAAGAAACATACAAAAACAAATCAAGCTCTAAAGAATAAACTGTTCCAATCTTATAAGAAACCTAGAAAAATTCACTCAGCTCTGAGAAATCAACTGCTCCCATATTTTCTCATTTATTTGGTTTATTGTTGCTGAAAATATTATCTATTATACCCATCTTTTGAAATATTAATTGAAAAACACCTTTTATGGTGGAAGAAATTACTTGTGTGCTTAGATTTTAAAGATAAAAGTTTATTTTCACACAGAAGTAGGTATTTTGAGTATAACACATTTCTGATTCTAAGACATTTTTAGACACGTCTAAAATCTGCATATGCCTGATTTGTGTAATCAAACTGCATCAGACTCTTATCTGTAATCTCAGAGTGTTCTGCTGTCACAATGCTTGAATAAAGGTTCAAAGTTTACATTTATTTTACTGTCCTGAACCTCAAATTAAGTCCAGTTTTTCAGTCTAGTTGAATCCTAGCAACATAATACTACAAAACAGAAACATGTAGAATCTCCTCAGTTTAACTCCCCAAAACTGTTAGTGTGTAAATAAAAGGTGGTAACGTGATTCATTGCTATGCTCTTTTCTGACCAAGGGGGGGAAAAAGCATGCATATTATACCCCATATACTCATAAATATTAGTAATAATTATTCATTTACTGTTTTATATAAATGTTGAGAGAGAATACATATATACATATATACATAATAAGGTCAAAGGTAATCAAACTAGCAAAATGCAACATAATACAGAGAGGGGAACTATGTAACAGAATACAAACCAATTTGAAATCTAGGGGAGAAAAATCATTGGGTAAAAGATTATGAATAATTAACTTCTACTAAAATAACTAAATAACATTTAGTTAATTTTGCAAATATAAAGTTGCCATTTTGGACACTAAGTATTAATATTTGTATCAGATATGAAAAACATGCATGAAGAACCCATGTTTGGGGTATCGGTTAATATCAAACTTTCTTATCTTATGCAAACAATACACATTCCCTACTATTATACATTCTTCAGAAGAATCAGTGGCTTTTTGGCAATATTAACTTTAAAAACTCATCATGTATTGCTATATCTATTAATTATTGTAAATACTTAAAAAAAAAACCCTTCACTAGTATCTGTTCAAAGGAGGTAAAATTCTTTATAGAAACCACACAAAATAACATAAGTATTTAACATACTAAGGCAGAGAAAAACTTATACGACATTAAGTTATATGCTAGCCAGTTTACTTGCATATCATTGTTAGCAGTGTAAAATGGTACCTTTTCAGAGATAGTATTTGCCTGTTATTTACTAAGACTGAAAATGCACATATCCTTTGATTCAGAGATTCTGTCTGTAGGATTCTATAGTAAAGACAGCTGTACCTATAGAAGGATATGAAGATATGTGTAATATATGTATTGTAGCACTGTTTATGATAGCAAAGATCAGAAAACAGCCTACAGAGTCATCAAAGAGAGATTGATCGAATGAAGTACGATAAAGCAATATGTGGTATCTCTTACTACTTACTATTTAGTCGTTAAAAGCATAAAGTTGATTTACAAATGTTGATAGGGAAAGACGTTCAGGAAAAATTATATGGGAAAAGGGTCTGGCAGAAGTCACGCCTGCTTGAGTGTGGTTGGTAGGGGAATGATATGGGTGTAATAATTTATAGTTTTAATTTGAACATTTCACCTAAAATGTCATATGGTGTGCTTGAGTGTGATATTGTTATGTAACAGAATTACACGCTTGTAATTTTGTAATAAAAGGGGCATTATTTGTGCAAGACCCTGTATATTGATATATATTCAGACAACCTTAAGAGGCTTCACATTTGTAACTTTTATAACTCAAACTCCTAGAAGCACTATTTTATTATGGTCAACATTCTCTGTGTGAGACATAACAGGAAAATTTCATGTTGAAAATTCACATATAATTTTAAATTACAAATACATTTGAGGTTAATATGAACATTTTGTGCTTGATAAAGTGATGATTTTTGTTGATCCTGAAATGATCACATTCCCATTTAAATCTATTAGCTGGGCATTTTGAAAATATATATAATATATCCAAACTACAGAGGAACCCAAACTAAAAGAAATTTCCAGAAGCACACTGGAAGGTTGTACTTCCTTAACACAGAAGGCTGGCACAACCTTAAGGTGTATGCCAAGCGCTGGTTGATTCCTTTCTGTGTGAGTCTTAAAAACGTTTCGCCCACATTTGTGATTCTAAACACACAGAGTGGGATGTGTTTATAAGTGTGGCTCTTGAATGGAGCTTATCTAATCAAAGAACTCCAGTTACCAGTGGGAGTCCTTATTTCCTCATTTTTATTAACACAAATATCTACATTTTAGAAATTCAGAGCAGTGTCAATCACTCATACACCAAATACATAAGAAACATACTTTTCAGTATGATTATTGCCATGCCAAATATATTGTTTTTTTTACCTTGAGCTTGCAGTTTTCTCAGCAATTTGGCATCTGTGTTTTCTAGAAATTCAGCACTGCCAACGTTCGGAGGTCGACCCTTCCGCCGTCTCGCCCTGGATTCCTCTCGTACTCGCTGTCTATCTGGATTTGGTGGTCGTCCTCTACGGCCTTCCATTGCTCTGATGCGAGGGATGACATCCTCTTCTTTCAAAAGACACCACTGCATTCCCTTTTAATCAACATTGTAGAGAAACATTGTTACAAAATAAACACAGTGATCAATCTGTCAGAAAATTCTAAGTAAATTTACAGACATTTAAAAATTTATAAAGGAGGTATAAACCTCAGGAATTGTGTTTTTTAAATTAAATTTACATTTATATTTGTTTATAGCTTTGCCTATATTTGTTATTCTTGCTTTAACGATTTGAACTTTAAATACCTAGAGAATTATATCTATATATATAAACATATAAAAAGATATATGTACCTTAATCACCATTTCTGATCTATGATGACCATCATGTTGGCAGATAACTGAAAACACTAGTGTGATGAGACCTTACGGATTTTTCTCATGGGTTATCAGTACAAACATCAGGTTATTTAAACAATAGATGAAAGTTTCTCTTTAGAGAAATATTGTAGCCAATAAATCAAGAAGAAATGTAAGAGTTAAAACGTCAGTGTTTTGCCATATCTGACGAACAGATCTAAGCATTAAACTTGAGTGGCCACCAATCACCAGAAAGAGAGACAACTGGACAGACATTAGCTTCCTGACAGAAGTGCACTCCACCACCCCTCTAAATTAGTCTGGTCTTACCAAGATTTAATTACTGTAACTTCACAGGATAATAGGGTGAGAAGTGTATGTTAAATTACATAGCAAAACCCAGTCTCCAGGAAATTCTACAGATTACCTAGTTTCTTCAACAAATACATTTTAAGAAGTAAACAGACTGGAAGGAGGTTTACAGTATGTATTAAACAATCCTGAGGATAAGTGTGGACTTTATCTAGATACCGATTCAAACAAAAGTGGTCAGAAAGTTATAAAAAGTATGAGACAACTGAAAATTTGCACAAGGACTGATATTTGAGGATCTTAAAAATTATTATTTTAAAGTGTGACAATGGTACTATGGTACACTTGTACAAAATAACAGTCCTTATCTTTTTGAGAAATAAATTGAAGTATTTACAGATGAAATAAGAAAAAATTTTCCCAACAAATTATGGAGGAGAAGCAGATGGGTGTATGTATGTAAAAGAATATTGGCCATATGATAGTTTCTAAGCTGATGATGGGTACATAGTGTATATTATTTTGTCTACTTTTGTGTCTATTTGAGATTTCTAATTATATGTTTCCTGACATAAAGACACACAATAGAATAATGCTACTGAATTATAGGAATATTCTTGCTCAGCGCATAGATACAATCTAAATCTGGTTTCCATTATTCTCCATTTGTCAATTAAACCAAATACAATGTTATATTACCTTACTTATAGTAATATATCCAAAGTAATATGTTCATATATAGAAAAGGTATCCTTTAAAATAATCCTTCTATTTCTTACTTATCTTTTAAAAAGATAATTCATTTAGTATAAAGGTTAAGAAAATTCTGTAAATGTACCTTTTCTCTTAAAAGAATCAAAAACTAGGAATTTAACCTGAACCTCCCTGGGTAATTTTGTAACCAAAAGCAATAAAAAGTTCTTGAGTTCTAATTTTTGCCATAATTCCTAACCTGGGCAAGGAGTCTATGAATATCTCATTTAATGGGTACTAAAAATACAAATAATATTCCTCCTACCATAACCCAGGCCACCTACATTCCACATTCCAAGCAGTGTGCTTTATTTCAGGCATGCTGAATAAATAACATACTTTAATCTTCACAGTAGCTCTATTAGTATAGTGCTTGTTGTACCTACAGTACAACTGGAGGAATTCAGACCTAGTGAGGTTAAATGATGTCCTGAGGAATAGAGGCAACAAGAAACAGAGCTGTGATTCAAACTCAGGACCGTTTCACTCCAAACCTGTGCTCTTTAACTGCTACATGTACTCCTCTGATGTTACAAACATGTTCTTATATTGATAAGTGACTGATAACAAGAGTCAGCCATGAAAGCACAGCCAAGATTAGGTCAACAGAACTGTGTCGGAAAAAAAACATTAAAACATATAGTCCGTATCTACATGTTCAAAATAATAACTATACTAATTCTTTTTAATTATTTCCATGTTAAAAATAATTTTAAAATTAATTGAGGAAAATAAGACATTTTTTCTGAGATTTGAAATGAAATCAATAGGAACAATAGTTGAACTAAGTGTATTTTTAGGCCATAAACTAAGAAGGAACCCATCAAAACAATTTTATGTTCACCAGAATAGGAAGCTTTTGATCAGTTTAGGTTTTCATTTTTCTATTATATTCTTAAGCACCAAGGCAGCACACATTACATAAATTGAAAACTGTAAAAGTGACATTTGTGTCACTTGGGATAAGAGAGAGAGGCTAATAAAAAGTGTCTGTCAAGGAATCTGCATTCAGTTTTTAAAGTATCTTATTAATAATAAAATCAACTTTTAGCCAAGATTTAAAAGGTTCAGTCAATTTATCCTTTTTTTATACAGTTACAATTTTTAGTTATGTTTTTATTCATCAAGGAAAACATACCTTTGTTAAAAAAGAAATAGAATATTTGGGGCCCCAAATTTACCAGACAAATATAGTGACATTATCATTTACATTTTGCCCTTGACATTTATAAAGCAAATATTTTCTAAGGGAATTGTATGTATTGGGCTACATGTATAATGTCTTCTGACTCCCGGACTTTAGAAAACAAGAAATGGATTGTTGGAAAAATCAGAAGCTTGTATCAATATTAATCAACTTAGTGTTAATTCACTGAGTAGCCAAAATAATTGTGAGCATAAAAAACATTATTTTTCTCAATAATATTTCTTTGAAAAAAGCAAATACAATTTATATCACTTGATTCATTTGCTATAAGCATTTCTGTCAATTAAAAATTATGTATAAAAATGGTTAATTTTTTTCTTAATTTCTGAGAATAAGATAGCAAATGGCTCCTGAAAATAGTATTTCTTTACTAAGATTTAAAAGATACAGATAAAAAGAAAATCAATGATTGACACTGTGGAGATGGTGACAGATTAATTCCATTATACCACTGTAAATTTCAAGACTTACTAATTTAAATCTTGAGCAATAACATATTCACTTTTATAAATACTATAAAGAGAGAGAAGAAAAAAGGGTTTATGTTTTATTTCAGAAGATTAAAAGTAATTAAGGTAAATAATTATATGAATACACTATATACTGTCCACAGTAATACATTATAAAAGTACATTGTAAGACTAAAATATATTATAAAAAGTTTACTTATACATTTGTTGATGCACCTATTCTATATAAGGCATAACATTTTCTAAAAGTAAACTGCAGAGTCCTCTCCCCAAAAGGACCAACATTTTTAACTAGGACATTAGCTTAGCTATTCTAATACAGGTGGTTAAGTTGCAATGAATTCAAAAGGGAGTTTAGAGGCTGGGACACAAAGTTGTCTACATTGTCCACTTACATGATGATGGTGGTCTGGATTAGGGCCTGAGAATTAGAGTTAGAAGAGAAGGTGAATACATCAGCCTTTTATAGAGAGAGGACTGCCAGGGTATGAAGGAGAAAAGTCTGAATGAAGACCAAAACAGTCTGAGGTAGTCTCTAAGCAACATGGGAAAGGGAAATGGTAGCATGGATTTCTTCCTGAACTAAGTTAAGATACAAGATGGAGAAAAACTTAAAAACTAGCAAATAAATTTATTGTTCTCAGTCTTTCACTCTTTAAAAACTAAATAAAGCTTAAAGAAAATGTTTATTTTAAATGAATTACTTTTTAAATGTTTTCTGTATTCAGAAATTAAAAAAAGATATGGAATTTAATGTAAGTAAAACTTTCTAGTTTACATTTCTATTATTCTTCACAATTGATACTCTAAAGTATGGCTGAAAAACTCATGACCAATTAGTTTATTTTAACCTTATCTTACGGACCCAGAATGGTCTAATTAATTGGTTTTCCTACATATCACAAAAAACTAAAGTAAATTTGTGGTTTACCAGAAACTTGTTTAGGTCTTATTGGGATGTGTTCTCAAGTTTCATTCCTGCTTCAATTTTATATCCTAGATTGTCTTTTTCTTTTGTAGCTCTCATTTCGTCTGATTTTATATACTTGTAAGTGAATTTACTTGGGGGAGAAAGTAGTATATAAGTAAATGAAATGAACCAGTCCACCAAAAGCTAATTCACTGAACGATCTATTTGCCAAGTTACTGAAGATTTTTACTTTTTAAGTTTTAGTATCACTAAGACTTTGCTGCAGCAGTTTTCTGTGGATTTGTAGTTCTGGGCCACCATCAGTTTCTCCTGTTCACGTCTGAGATTGTAGTGCTGCTCATCTGCTCAATTTATATAAATGGAGTGAACGTTACTCATATTTTGTAGGTTGGGAACTGTGTATACCCCAGTGAAACACCTGTGGTGAATGTTCTACATCTGGGCTAAGGTATTTGGCCTGACAACTTTAGGTCTGTTAGTCATTCAGCGAACTGATCCTTTACCAAATAGTTTGGGGTTAGATACTTTCAGTAAATTCAACCATGGCTCAAGAAAACAAAGTTATTTTTCACTACCTTTCTCTTTGAATCCTTAACTTCTTAATAAATAATTTACTTAAAAAATACTTTTAGAACTTTATATGTAAAAGGGAATTATTATTAAAGACCTTCTCTTAACTATATATTTATATATGTGTATGTATATATATGTATATGTATACACAGACAGACAGACAGACACACACACACACACACACACACACACACACACACACTCTTCATATCATAGAGGAGGAAATTAAGACCTAGAACAGTAGGCTTCAGTTTTCCAAATTAAACATGACACTGAACTGCACTGCTAGGAATCTAAGAAAACTCTCAGGGCACAACAAAGGAAGGGCAACAAATAAATAGTTTTAACAAAACTTGACATTTCACATTTTAAGAAAAACATTCAAGTTAATATCATGAGAAAATAAAAATTTTGTTGGGTTTCCTTACATCTATTCCAAAGTTTGGTATTATGTTTACCTTTAGCTACTTTATGGTGCCAGAGGCAA